TTATTCTGGTTAATCTGATACTACCAAATGGAACATTTCGTGATTCAACGGTTCAGATTGTTTTGGTCGTGTGTGGGAACCTACTTTATACCAACGTCTCCATTTCTTTCTTACATTTTGTCACGACAATGGGGGAAAAAAATGTATGAAAATGTATGAATTTACATAATTTTGAAAGTCAGCGAAGTCGCCGAAGCGAGTCTAAAGGCCAAAGAGTCATCCCGAAAACCAAGGCTGGATTCTTAGACTTGTTCTGCTTCGATAGAGGCACTCTAACTGTAAGTGAGTACAAATAGTGAGTGTCGCGTAGTAAAGAGCGATAAGACGTATTTATGTTTCAACGAAATTTATTTAGTGAAAACAAGGATCAACGTCGTTTTTCTTGATGGGAATTCCGTAATTTCAGGTAAAATTTCACATAGCACCTCTCAATTATTGACAAAGAGTCATATAGTCATCATTTCAGTGAAATATTTCACATTACTTTTTAAAGAAAATTTTGTGAAGAAATTTATCAATTAACTATTTAAAATTGGAACAATAATTAGACAGAAAATAAATTTTTTTTATTCAATCAACTGGGATCTTTGCAAGATGTTCACACGTATATTATAATCAAGAAAGATTGATTTAAAATTTACTCAAGTCAATATTCAATTTCTTAGTTGGATTTGAATCACAAATTTCTATATTTTTAATTCACAAACTTTAAGCTTTTAATTCCACAAATTCACGCTTCCAATCTTCCAATCTTCTGTGGTATTTCTAAAATATAGCCCTTGTTTGAGCCCCATTTTTCAACCAAAATACATTCTTCAATAGTGATTTGACATCATTTCAATCACATATTCTTCAATAAAATAATATTATATGCAAATCAAAAAATCTTCCTTATTTTTTAACCACACATTTCTTATTAATATACTATTCAAAAATTCATTTTTTTCACAAAAATGGGACTCAAACAAGGGCATAGACTACATCAATGTGTGGACACTTCTTCAATTTAATGAAAATTCTAAACTGGATAGACAAAGAGAAAAAAATAAAATTTTTTTTTCTCTGAAAATGTGTCTCACATTTTTTTTTCTTTAAAGAATTCTTCCCCTCGATGTGTGTATATAGACCAAAGAGGCAAAGAGCTCCAGTTCAAGTTCACATTTAATTAGGCCATAATTGATTTAATTGTACATATGGTTCCCTAAACTTTAATTACAATTATAATTAAGTTCAAACCTTTCAAAGTAACTGCAATTGAGTCCAAAACAAAAGCTACCATTAGGAATTGTTCGGACATATTTTTCAAGTTCCAATAATTATATCATGTCTAGATACCATAAATCACCCAATCTAAATTATTAGTTGTTTTTTCCCCCCACGAGTGATAAAAGATTGCACTCTTGAACTTATAAAATCACATAAACTAAAATATCAATATTTTTCTCTAACCTATCGTATACAAATTTCATTCATATCTGAGATCTCATTAGGTAAGTCATAAATGACCATTTTGTCTCTTTAATTATTTTCAATAACTTAAGTTACATTTTCTCCAACGGTCACGTGAATCAAATAGCCGTTACCAAATATGAAGCTCAAATTTATAATCGTTCAACAGAAAATGGTTAAGTAGTCACTCGACCCATCTTTCAGAATGATGATTCCCTACACAAATTCATGTACTCTACTTCATTCTTTTTCAAATTCCCACCTTACCGAATATTTAATCAATCAAATTCATCTCACTCACTAGTAAATCAAAGAATTATTAAACTCAAGGAAAAGATATACATAACTTTGTCAAAATATTTGGATGAAATACGATTATCAAGTGGAATTTAATTCTTCGCAAGGTCATGTTATAGAATTAAATTCAACACGTGGTATATTCATACACTCGACGTGTATTAGTGTCACTTGGGGATGGCAATTGGGTTCGTCGGCTCGGGCAGCCCATAGCTTGGCTCAAAAAAAGCTCAAGACTCGGGCCGAGACCCATTTTGGGGTGCCGAACAAAGCTCGAGTCAGCCCGTGTGACTCATCGGCTCGAGCTCACGAGCCTATATTTAAAAAAACATATACAAAAAAAAAATACAAAAAAATATTTAAAAGGCAGCAACTATAATATAAAAAAATACCAAAGCCAAAACAAAATCGAGCCTGTCCAGCTCGGAAAGGCCGAAGTCGAAAGCTCGGGTTGAACCTAATTTTTTTTGTAGAGCTATTGCTCGGCTCGATTTGGGCCCAAAAAAGCTATGAAGACAAATAAACGAGGAGGATAGGCAAGCAGAGATGAAAGTAGAGAGCTAACCTAAACACAAGAAAAGATCCATTGAAAGAAGGGATTCGGGGAGGAAATGGGATAAGTGAGTACAAATAGTGAGTGTCGCGTAGTAAAGAGCGATAAGACGTATTTATGTTTCAACGAAATTTATTTAGTGAAAACAAGGATCAACGTCGTTTTTCTTGATGGGAATTCCGTAATTTCAGGTAAAATTTCACATAGCACCTCTCAATTATTGACAAAGAGTCATATAGTCATCATTTCAGTGAAATATTTCACATTACTTTTTAAAGAAAATTTTGTGAAGAAATTTATCAATTAACTATTTAAAATTGGAACAATAATTAGACAGAAAATAAATTTTTTTTATTCAATCAACTGGGATCTTTGCAAGATGTTCACACGTATATTATAATCAAGAAAGATTGATTTAAAATTTACTCAAGTCAATATTCAATTTCTTAGTTGGATTTGAATCACAAATTTCTATATTTTTAATTCACAAACTTTAAGCTTTTAATTCCACAAATTCACGCTTCCAATCTTCCAATCTTCTGTGGTATTTCTAAAATATAGCCCTTGTTTGAGCCCCATTTTTCAACCAAAATACATTCTTCAATAGTGATTTGACATCATTTCAATCACATATTCTTCAATAAAATAATATTATATGCAAATCAAAAAATCTTCCTTATTTTTTAACCACACATTTCTTATTAATATACTATTCAAAAATTCATTTTTTTCACAAAAATGGGACTCAAACAAGGGCATAGACTACATCAATGTGTGGACACTTCTTCAATTTAATGAAAATTCTAAACTGGATAGACAAAGAGAAAAAAATAAAATTTTTTTTTCTCTGAAAATGTGTCTCACATTTTTTTTTCTTTAAAGAATTCTTCCCCTCGATGTGTGTATATAGACCAAAGAGGCAAAGAGCTCCAGTTCAAGTTCACATTTAATTAGGCCATAATTGATTTAATTGTACATATGGTTCCCTAAACTTTAATTACAATTATAATTAAGTTCAAACCTTTCAAAGTAACTGCAATTGAGTCCAAAACAAAAGCTACCATTAGGAATTGTTCGGACATATTTTTCAAGTTCCAATAATTATATCATGTCTAGATACCATAAATCACCCAATCTAAATTATTAGTTGTTTTTTCCCCCCACGAGTGATAAAAGATTGCACTCTTGAACTTATAAAATCACATAAACTAAAATATCAATATTTTTCTCTAACCTATCGTATACAAATTTCATTCATATCTGAGATCTCATTAGGTAAGTCATAAATGACCATTTTGTCTCTTTAATTATTTTCAATAACTTAAGTTACATTTTCTCCAACGGTCACGTGAATCAAATAGCCGTTACCAAATATGAAGCTCAAATTTATAATCGTTCAACAGAAAATGGTTAAGTAGTCACTCGACCCATCTTTCAGAATGATGATTCCCTACACAAATTCATGTACTCTACTTCATTCTTTTTCAAATTCCCACCTTACCGAATATTTAATCAATCAAATTCATCTCACTCACTAGTAAATCAAAGAATTATTAAACTCAAGGAAAAGATATACATAACTTTGTCAAAATATTTGGATGAAATACGATTATCAAGTGGAATTTAATTCTTCGCAAGGTCATGTTATAGAATTAAATTCAACACGTGGTATATTCATACACTCGACGTGTATTAGTGTCACCTGGGGATGGCAATTGGGTTCGTCGGCTCGGGCAGCCCATAGCTTGGCTCAAAAAAAGCTCAAGACTCGGGCCGAGACCCATTTTGGGGTGCCGAACAAAGCTCGAGTCAGCCCGTGTGACTCATCGGCTCGAGCTCACGAGCCTATATTTAAAAAAACATATACAAAAAAAAAATACAAAAAAATATTTAAAAGGCAGCAACTATAATATAAAAAAATACCAAAGCCAAAACAAAATCGAGCCTGTCCAGCTCGGAAAGGCCGAAGTCGAAAGCTCGGGTTGAGCCTAATTTTTTTTGTAGAGCTATTGCTCGGCTCGATTTGGGCCCAAAAAAACTCAATCATTTTACCCGAGCCTGGAATTTCGGCTCGGCTCGGTTCGACTCGTTGACATCCTTAGTGTCACCGTTAAACCATTTTTGCAATAAGGACAACACATAAACTCGAATCATGAAATAGTCAACACTACAATCTTCAAGTGCAAGGTGTCAATCCTCATAAATTGGTCCTAGGCAATTTTATTTATAATTAAAATATAAGTCACGTTGCACTTATCAATGCAAGTATTAAAGTATAAGAGTCATGTTGTACTTTTCAACGCAAGTACCCAACTTATATTATTATAAATGGTCATAGACACTTTTATTTTGCATGCTAAAGATTAAATAAATAATATAGCAGTAAGTAAATAAAAAAGAATTTATTATTTATTAAATTATCTCCCTGGAATTCGTAGTATCCTACTTTCATGCAAGTCATTGCGGTTAACAAACAATCGATATTTCACGATCAAGGGTGTAATTTTGTTATAGCAAAACTATAACACTAACAACTTCAAGAAGTGGAAGACTAAAAATAGATCAACCTCACTATAACTTGATTGGAAATCAATTCCGACTGAACATTTGAGTGTGAAACTCTGACTTTGTATTCTAATTTTTGTAATGGTCCATAAAGTATCGCTAGCTTTCTTTTGGTTCATGAATCATGGGGTGAACATGTGAGGAATGTATTGGAAGAATGTATAGTTTTCTCCTGTCTACCTATATAACATAAATTGAAATACAATACAAACTGAAAAAATTATGAAGAAAAAAAGAAATGGTTCGTCTGTTATCATTATTATTCTGGTTAATCTGCTACTACCAGATGAATCACTGGGGGATTCAAGACTTCAGTTGGTTCAGATCGAGTGTAAGAGCCAGCCTGAACACGAGATTCACAACACCAACATTTTTATCCGAAACTTCGTCATCACAATGGAAAAGTTAAGAGTGAAAATGCATACTTCAGGTTATGGCACAGCAGTAACGAGCTCAGGACCCGATGCTAATTATGGACTAGCAGAATGCTATGGTGATCTTTCTGTACAAGATTGTGGGTTATGCTATGCTGTAGCGCGCACAATTCTTCCTCTGTGCTATCCAGTCAATGGAGGAAGGGTTTTCCTCGATGGTTGCTTCATAAGAGCCGAGAATTATAGATTCTTTCAGGAGTACACTGGACCAAATGACAGGGCCGTATGTGGTAATAGAACGCAAAAGAATTTTGGATTTCTGGTATCTGCAAGGCAGGCTGTTAAACAAGTAGCTTCAGCAGCACCAAACAACAAAGGCTTTGCACGAATTCAAGTGCCTGCGTCGGGGATGACAAATGAGTCGGCTTATGTTATTGCTCACTGCTGGAGGACACTTAGTGATGACTCTTGCAGAGCTTGTTTGGAGAATGCGTCAGTGTCTATACGGGGATGTTTGCCATGGTCTGAGGGTCGGGCACTGAATTCAGGGTGCTTCATGAGATACTCCGACACCAACTTCCTTAATCCTGTACAAGTAAATAGAAGTCCTAATCCTAGACAGGGAAATGGCAGTTCAAGAGGTAAAATCAGCTTTGTGTTCTTCTCCCTAGCATTTCTACAATAATTTTCATCTCTTCTCTTTGTGCCAGCACTAACAGTTTCAACCCTTCATTTTCTTTGTGTTTCTTCCCTCTTACTGTGTTAAAACTGCACTTCTATATCAATATAGCCAGATCATGCATTTTCAACTGACTTCTGCAGGGAAAATAACAGCTCTCATAGTGGCATCTGTTAGTTCAATAGCTGTTTCGGTAATTGGAGCATTTGTTGGGGTTTATATCTGGAAACACAAAAGAATACAGAAGAAGAGAAAAGGTAGAATACATTTTGCCTGTACAAGCAATGATGACACAGAATTCCTTAGCTTTTCATCACTTTGCACCTTTCTCTTCAAAAAACGATTAATCAAGTATCAACAGGTGATGCAGAGAAACTAGTGAAGCTTCTTTACAATAGCTTCAAATATTCCACACTTGAGAAAGCAACTGGTTTTTTTGACGAAGCTAACAAGCTTGGGCAAGGTGGATTTGGCACAGTTTATAAGGTTATTCCTCCATAGATGTGGTAAATGAAGAGCACTGACGTAAATTGATGTCTAAGCTAAAGTTTTTTGTTATTGCAGGGAGTGTTGGTAGGTGGAAGAGAAATAGCTGTGAAGAGGCTATTCTTTAACAACAAACATAGAGCAGCAGATTTCTACAATGAAGTCAACATTATTAGTAGCGTCGAGCACAAAAATCTGGTCAAGTTGTTGGGGTGCAGTTTCTCGGGACCTGAAAGTCTGCTTGTATATGAATTTCTACCAAACAAGAGCCTTGATTTCTTTATCTTTGGTAAGTACTAGAATTCAATTTCATTTAGAATAGAAATTCAGATTGCTGGCTCAGAATCATGGCATAGATTTCTATAATGATCATGTATTGCTTTTACAATCTGTGTTCAGCAGTGATAAAATCGTTAGGCTGTTATTTTGATTTTGACAGATCCAAACAAAGGTAAAGAGCTAAATTGGGAGAAGAGGTTTGAGATAGTTATAGGGACAGCAGAAGGATTGGTCTACCTTCATGAAAACACGAACACAAGAATTGTTCACAGAGACATCAAAGCAAGTAATATCCTCTTGGACTCAAGATTCCGTGCTAAGATTGCCGATTTTGGGTTGGCAAGGTCTTTTCAAGAAGATAAAAGTCATATCAGCACCGCCATTGCAGGAACATTGTGTGTATTTTCCTTTTTATTCTAATCTTTACTCCATAATATCAAAATTAAATTTACAAATTAATTCTTGAATTTGCAATATGTAGGGGATATATGGCTCCAGAATATTTAGTTCATGGCCAATTGACAAAAAAGGCAGATGTGTATAGTTTTGGTGTACTTCTTGTTGAAATTGTCACTGGAAGACAGAACAACAGGAGCAAAGCCTCCGAGTACTCGGACAGCTTATTAACTATAGTAAGTTCTCAAATCTTCTTCTTTTCACTTTATATTTCATTATATACATCGAAAATCCTTTTAAAGTAGAGATGAGATGGAATCTATTACACGTACCTTCTTTTTCAGAAGTTTCATAATAACTCTTTCAGCTTCCCTTCAAAAGCCTTATTAGGCTCAAGTATCAGCTTCGCCTTTGATTTTAGATCAGAAAGCTGATCGAGCATTATATGTGCCCTTGTAGACCAACTATGCTTGCATGAAATCTCTAGTTGATTCTCAAGATGCTGAAAGTCATTAATTTTGATGTCCCCAAGTCATCTCCGGGAAATTTCTCTGGTACAATTATAGTGACTTGTCGTTAGATTTGAACTTATTAGAAACTCCTTATAGCTGCTTTGCTCTACATCTCTGTGGCTAATTGATCGGCCCCCAGCAAATCATAACTGCATTTTCGATACCTTTCATGTGTTTAGAGCATATTTTAACGGCTGCTGAACACAGAAAGTTGCACATTTAGAGAAGATGATGAGAGAAACCTTGTCATCATAGAGCATAAAGAGTTCTTAGTCTTTCTTGAGCAGCCCGTTTCTTCTCTCTGTGAATATCACCTTCCTATTTTTCTTGGTCTCTATTCCCTTCAGCAGAAATCTCCCCATCACCATTATCTTGAGTGCGCCTAAATCTACCTGACTTGAACCTCTTTCTCTCAATTGACACATATTTTTGTTCACTAAAATAGCGAAACACTTCAAACCTTAAAAACGAGACAAAAGAAAAGGTTTATCTATTCACAATAATACAGAGTTCTAATAACTTACTCAACATATAACGTTTCATTATCATTTAACTGTTATTACATTATTTTGGATGCATGAGAACAGGCATGGAAGCACTTTCAGCAAAGAAAAGTAGATGAGCTGATCGACCCAAACTTAACGATGCATAACTATCACGATATTGATGTTAAAAACGAGATTCTACGGGTGGTTCATGTCGGACTCTTGTGTGCTCAAGAGATCCCATCCCTACGACCATCCATGTCTAAAGCACTAGAGATGCTGGTGAAGAAAGAAGAGCACCTTCCTCCACCGTCTAATCCCCCTTATATATACGAGACCGTGGAACTTATTGACACACTCGAATGTGGCAATCCTGCTTCAACTGCTACCATTTCCCAGAGTATCTTCTATCCCAGATGACATCAAAATTGATAGTATTCCAAGAAAATGCTGACTGCTGAAATGTTTTGAATGGTAGTGATGCACTTGAAGCACGTCAGGATAAAATCATCACTCAATTCATGTAAATCAAAGGAGGATTCATGCACTTTCTTTACATTGAAAAACATTAATCATAGCCTTCTAGTTGTACGGACTAGGCAGCATTGTTTATATAAATTTGATACATTTTGGAGCTTCTTCAATTCTTTGTCGGTTTTCTGGTATTCATTTTTACGGATCAACAAACGAATTATTTAAAGCTAATAGTTATCCATGTTTTCGATATCGATCTTACTCTTCTTTTGATGTTTTAGAGCTAATAATTATCCATGTTATTGAGAATAACGTTTGAAAAGGCTTGCCTATGTCGCATGACAAAAACAAGAAAAATCAACTTCTTAATCACCTTAATAAAATGAGATGAAAATTCCGAGAACTTGAGAATACGAACCTAAAATAAAGATCAATTGGTAAGAGAGTGTTTGATTGACATGGAAAATATCACCTAGAAAAGAAAATATTTTCCATCTTTTGTGGAAAATAAAAACTACCTCTACCCAAGGAAAATATTTTCCTTAAAAACAAGGAAAATTAGGCATATTTTCAAAAGTTGGAAAATGTTTTTCATGGAAAAAAATAGCAATCAAACACTCCAAGTAAAAATTTGGCATGCAGTATATATCTAACTTACGATTATGAAAAGATATATTTTATTATAGCACGATTCAATGAATCATCTCGATAGACCTAAAAGATGACATATCTACTAGAAAAGTAGTTGAATCATAAATGTTACATCAACTTTAAAATAAATGAATTTACTTCGTAATCAATAAAATTATCGTGAAAATAAATATTAATTGTTTCGCGCGGGTAGTCGCTAACAATTAAAAAAGGAATCAGACGATTGTGTAAGGAACAGACTTCTTGAGACAAAGTTTCAAAAATGGGTGTTTTATTGGCGATAATTTACAATTGAAAATAAACAGAGTGCCTCCAAGGGGCACAAACACACGAGTACTAAAAGAAGTGTTTAAATTTAAGTTAAGAAATTAAAATTACATATTCTCTATTTGAGAGTGTTTGATTCGGAGTCCTCTATTCTATGTCTTCTCTTCCTTTTTATATTCCATTGATGACTTCCTTGCGATAAACTGTTTGAAAACTGTTTGATTGTTTTATAACTGCCCACTTTCTTTATGGTAGCTAACTTGTCGTGGAACTGCCGTCTCTAATTGCTACCATTACTCTTTGTCGTTCAATCGACTTCAACTGGGCTCCTTGAATCGTGGAATGTGATAAGATTACTCAATAACTGTTTTAATAACTGCTATTCTAGAAAACCATAATATTTTATGTTTGCTAAGATCCTGGACGATTCGAAGGTTTGGGCGAGAACGGGGTCATCGCTCTGGGCGACCGTAAGGCACTCCATTTGCTCAAATTTTGGACGTCTTGCAAGCTTGGGTGATGATGTCACTGTGTTCGTGGGCTTCCACTACATTTATCAATAATCCTGTTTGGACCTTTATCCTGAACTCCCCAATTGGGCTTCACTCTTTGGGCTATTTGATTTGGGCTGCACTTTTAGTGTGTCAACAATTATCCCCCAATATGGCAGAATTAATACCAATTATTAATCTTTTCCATATTCACACTTGTATTCTCCAGCAACATTTGAAATTCCCAAGAATTTCAATAATTATTTCCTTCTATAGCTTGAAAAGATGCAACATTACAAACCCTTATAAACTCAAAAGACACGTCATTTCATCGCACCACTAAACCTCGTATCTATATTTTGCGCTTCCTCCTCACTATTTTACTGTTCATCTTCTTGCTTCTCTACTACGTTTCTCAGGCAAATCTTAACAAAACTGTACTTTGCACCCAATGGCGAGTTCACAAACTCAATCTAATGATTCTTTTAGTTTCGAAGATTTCCAGAAAATCCTTACTAGGCCGTATGTAAATCCAAACTTCCTTGCACCAACCAATGCTGACCTTAATGAATTCTACCTGAGTCCATCATTCAATAATGCCGAAACCGTTGGACAAGTGGCGGTGGGATGGCCCTACCAAGGCGATTTTTTATCGTGCTAGGATTTCGAACTTATTAGAAATTGCTCTTCAACCCCCAATTTTCGACCCAGTGCTTTTTTCGATTGCTTTGAATTTTTGATCTTCTGAATATAATACCTTCGTTTTCCCTCTTAGTCCCATGTCTATTACTTTAAGGGACGTTGGAGCCCTAGTAAATCTTCCGTCTTTGGGTAATACCATCTTTCATGGTATCTTGATTTCCAGTGTTGGCACGAAATTTGACAAGAAGCTTACTGAGTCCTATTCAAGCATGCAAGGCTTTTATAATCATTCAAGCGCTGAACCTTCCCACACTGAGCGTATGGTCTTTCTTCAAATTTGGCTCTGTAAATATATTCTCTACGTGCCAAGTATGAAACATTCTATGAGCTACTTACCCATAGCGCATGAATTGGCGCGTGATAGGCCTTTGAATTTATGTTCCTTCTTTTTAGTTGCCATTTATAGAGGCATGGCTTCCCTTCAATCTCAACTGAAGAATGGTGCATCTCCCACTGGCAGTGGCCCGCTTTGGTTCACTCAACTGTGGTTGAGAGCATACTTTCCACTACTTGGTGCTCCATCCATTTCCCTTCGTTCTGCTAGCTGCTATGGGCTAGCTATTGACCCATTGAAACCTGTAAATATGTCCAGTAGGGACATTTTTTCATTCTTTTATACCTTAAATTCGATTTCTTCCTTCTTTCCTTTGCATGCTCACTTGACTCCAGATTATGTGCAACCTCCATCCACCCTGGACAGTGCGAGTGTCTCTCTGCTTGTTTGGGTTCAGTTTTTTGATTGGGAGGGAATTGTTCCATGATATTTTAACTGGAACCAATGCCAATACTGAGGTTGAAATATATGTTCCCCAATTTTTTGCTCGTCAACTTGGTTTTGGCCAAACTTGGCCTGTTCTCCCTTGCTACTCCAAAAATTTGACAGATCGTTTTCACACTATTAATAAGGCAGAAGCACAAGCTGTAGATGCTCGCAACATTCTTTTGACGAGAAAATTTTCATTAGTCCCTTTCAATTCTAGCTGTGCCGTCCATCTTCTTTTTGAACAGCTCTGACCATCAGTAAAACGTAGTTGTTTGCAACTTATGCTAATCGTGCCTTCCATTTACTGGATCAGTCAGACACTTCCTCTACTTCTCCTATATTGGTCACCCCTGTATCCGTTAGGAATCCTCCCTACCCTGTTCGCGCTAAACGCCCTATCCGTCCATCTGCTTCTCCACCTGCCAAGGCTACTGCAGCTAAAGATGCCTTAAGCCACAAATGGCCAGTTTCGACATCTCCCATTTTGCAGGATGATAATGATGATGATGATGACACTCCTCTCATCCTTAGGAGAAAGGTAATTGAATTTGTTTATTCACAAACATACTTTTCTATGTACTAATGGTTAATCTGAATTTCTTAGAAAAGTTCAGCCTCTCCTTCGAAGGCTTTGGTTTTGGCAACTCCTGCTTCACCATCTTCTACTAAAGCTGCTACGTCCAAATCAGCTGATGAAGAGACTATACTTAAAGATAAATCCTTAGTCCTGGAATCTTCATCACAACCAGTAGAAGGGCCACCTTCTTCCTAGGGCGCCGACCCCCCAAATGTTGAACCAAAAGGTAATACATATTTTGATGTTTTACCTTTGTTTGTACTACTGGTTTCTAATTCGTTGCTTCTTGAATTATGTAGAGGCTCCCATGGGCCTGCCCGTTGTGGGAGAGTCTTCTCGCCCAGATAACGGGAAGTCCCCACAAGTGGTGGAGCCAACTGGTGATATGCCTGAACTTTCCAAGATTGCTGATGAGGTAACCTTTTGCCTTACTTTCATTTTCGCTTCGTTTATTGTAGTGAAAGCCCTTAAAGTTGGCATTTTTCTTTGCAGGGTGCTGATGACATTGTGCGTTCCATCCAGGACTTGTTCACTTCTTGGGGACAAGTCAAGACGTCTCGGCCTATTTCAACAAGTCATCCTTCTGCTTCATCTTCTGCTTTTTCGGAGGAAAATATGAAGTCTCTCAAGCAGTCGGTACTTGAGTATGTGTCTTTTATGGACATGGATATCGGCCAGACTAGTGCTACTAAACCTAAGAAAAAGTTTGAACTATTGAGTGCGAAATTGGCGCAAGCACTTACACTTCCGTCGCTCAATGTTTCTGCTGATTTTAAAGCGAAATTGAGGTTGTCCACTCTGACATCCTCTTCTTGCTAGCTAAGAATGTTGAACTGAAGGCCAGGAGTACTCAATATCTTCATGCTGCATCTGAAAGAGAGTCTTTGCTTCTAGAGATTGACAAAGTCAAGGATGAATTGAAAGAAATCTCTTCCGATGTTATGATCGAAGACTCTTTGATGGTAAGCTTGGCTGCAGAGATGAAGGAGTTTCAAGCAAAGATGAACGACTGTAGGACAAGAATGGCTGCTAAAAAGCATAATGCTTCCCAAAGAATTGAACGAACCAAGTCTTTGGTTGAGCAGTATAAAAAGATAGAGGTTGATGACGATTTTGTAACTGAATTAAATGTCGCTTCTTCTCAACAGAGCGAAGATTGGGGAAGACTTAGGGAAAGAATACGTTCGGCCTGGGGTAAATTGTAATTAAGACATCCAATGCCTTAACTTTCCTTTTGTAATTTCGCACTAATTGTCATTGCTAATTTTGAATATAATAGCAGCTATCGTCATTAATGAACGACTAATTTGTCTACTTGCATATTAATTGACGTTGTCCTTAATCGTCAACCCCAAGCATTTAATTGCTTTATGCTAAGATTCATGTACATTCTTTCTTGGTATTCCCGTCTCTTTTCCCAAGACTTTGGGCCATTTGATTTTAGTTATTAGGCACGAATGTGGCCGTTCATATTCTTTCTTTTTACCTTCACGCCTTTATAAATGCGCGTGTATTTCGTACTTATCATTTTCATTTCCATTCTTTTCTTCAAAAACTAATTTGCTGCCATTGTTTGGCATCTCAACAATTGATCCAAAATTTTCATATTCCATAGAAATGGATCATTTGATCCGCCCATTTTGCTATCTGTCTTGATATCACCTTTGGTATGGGAGATATAGGAAATATTCTTTGGCCAGCAAAGGTCTTCCCGTCGTCTTCA